AAGAATGTATAAACATAAAACGTCTTAAGAATAATTGTCGGACTTTGTCCATTTCATAATATATATATATATATATATATATATATATATATATATATATATATATATATATATATATATATTAAATCAGTGGTTTGTTTTATACTTTAGATATTTCATTAATGATTTTCTCCTAGCAGGGATTGAGTTATCTGAGTGGCTGTAATGTTAATGAAAAAATGAATACGCAAAAATTCGCATTTCTCCTCGCCAAGCGTCGATGGCCTATGGGTTAGAATCTCCGACTGATACAAAATACCTGAAGTGATCGGATGTCTAGCCACACTTATGAGCTGTGAAACAGCGAAACATTCCTTCTCTGGATGATATATATATATATATATATATATATATATATATATATATATATATATATATATGTGTGTGTGTGTGTGTGTGTGTGTGTGTGTGTGTGTGTGTGCGCGCGTCTGTGTGCGTGGTTATGTTTAAATTTGTGTAACATTTCTTATTTAGTCAGTTTCAAAATAAGCGCTTGTTTATTTTGGACGCCCCTGAGATGTATCGTTCTTTTCACAGTTTTCGGAAGAAATGGATCAGCGTGCAGGCATTTTGAAATCATTTTTGTTTATTATATATAATTTTGAAAACAATTTATTTATTTACTAGCAGTAAACCCAAACTCAAACAAAAACATTATTTTCAATCGTTTTGAGTCTACCGATTGAATAGAATTTTATTATAAACAATTGTCTTGTAAATGGAATTTTTAAAGCATTTTGAATGTAAAAATAAAGTAAAAAGTGTGCAAGACAATAAGAAACACTACCTGCCAAAAAAAAAGTGAAGTTTTGTTGAAATCGGTTGAAAAATGTAGGAAATCCGATCCCATATATAAACGAACACACAAACACTCAAACAACTTGGGTTTTAAATATAACTCGATATGAGTTGTCTCCCTTTCATTCTCGCGATGCCTCTTAATAGTGTTTTCAAATTGATTTCGTGTAAAAACAATTGTGCTTTTCCAATTTTGGGCGCCGTCAGAACCACCGCAAGGTAATTTTACGTAGTCCTGTGAGGTTTTGTTGAAATCGGTTGAAAAATGTAAGAAATCCGATCCAATATCTAAACGTACACACACACACACACACACACACACACACACACACACACCACACACACACACACATACACAAAACCTGGGTTTTATTATAAGTATGATTATATATTGTTAATTTTGAAAACAAATTTATTTCTTATGCTTGTGTTTCCTAAGAGATTTTAATCCAGACAATGACTTGCAAGCAATTTTACAGATTAGGTATGCGAGAGAATTGTTATACAAAAATGGTTGTTAGGGTAAATTGTCTCTTTTATCTTTATTCTCAATTCTATTGATCACTTAGGTAGCTTATTTTAAAGTTTTCTTGTGGGTTTTGGGGATTTTTATGCTTTTGTATCAAGTTCACCCCATTCATTGTAATTCAATAATATAATTTCAACTGCTTTTAAAAAAAAAAAAAAAAAAAAAATTTCACGTTTTCAGGTTATTTTCTTCATTTGTCTTTCTACCTCGGCTATGCCCTCCCTGTTTTCCTTTTTTCCATCGTGTAGTCGGCTATGCTCGAGAACTTTTTGAAATCTATTGTCGCTCATCCCGACGACTTGTCCAACACCAACCTTAACTGGAAATGGAGAAGAAAGCATTCAGTGGTTTCTGAAGTCTGTCCGAAAACTACCTAGCCATTTTGAATATTTCAAGAACTGATTACGCTGCTTTGATCGAGTTTGACAACCAATCAGACGGGACCTTGGAGCGCACGAGTGAACAAACGCACTGCATGAGACGTGGTTTCGTGAGTTTTTCAATTATACGACCCTCATATTCACAGTGAATATACATCGTCCGTGAAAACTATTCGAATAATTAAGGTTTTGTTTGCCAAGAAGGGTTACGTAGGTAATTCAATGAGCGAAGCAGAGATAAAACTTTGGTACCGACACTTCAAATATGGCCGGAAATCCATTGAAAGCGATTTGCGTTCTGCAATGCTTTCACGAACCAGAACACTCGAAAATGTTGAACGCGTGCGGATTGTAATCAAAGAAAATTTGACGACTGACAGAGCCAGAATCAGAAAAAAACATATGGAGCCTACTGTCTCTCCAGCCATTTTGAATATCTCGCCTGCCATTTCTTCACGTCTTGTGCAGGGCTCTTTTTGGCAAATCATTGCATTACTCAGTACCCTTTCAACACTTGCTCTCTGCCACTTTCGGCTTTTCTAAAAGCTAAAATTACTGACGAAAGAGAGAAAACTTCCGACCGTCAACGAGACGCTGGAGGGAGCAACGAGCCTGCCGATAGTGATCCCTAAATAGGAATTTTCAGAGTCTTTTGAAAAATGGAGAAACTGGGAAAATTATGCGTTTCTTCAGGAATGAGTACTTTGAGTGAACTTTGAAGGCTGGATCTTTTCCAGACTAAATGAATACAAAAAATATAAAGTAATAAAATGTTTTATCATAATACGAAAACAAATTAATTATACAGTTAATATGGAGTTTATATTTTGATATGTTTTGATAGATATCGGAGTGTACAGGAGTTTTTATATTTTGAAAAAGATATCAGATTATTATATTTTGACACTTTTTAATAAATATCGAGGAGTATCTTGGAGTATTTCTTATCTATTCTTTAAATAACCTGTTTCAATCAGTTATGCGCCATGCGGGATACACGCATGTATCTTTCGACATATAGACAGACGTGGCAGATTTTTCCCGCAGTAGGTTGCCATTTCTTTCTGTTGTAGACCAGTTGTTATCCAAGGCTATAGAACCCGCTCTGTCTTGCTATTTACCCATAGCTGGGGAGAGAAGAAGAGTAGGTTGCCATTTCTTTCTGTTGTAGACCAGTTGTTATCCAAGGCTATAGAACCCGCTCTGTCTTGCTATTTACCCATAGCTGGGGGAATAAGAAGAGGATTCATACCTTTCTCAAGGGTATTAGCACGTAAGTGAATGTTATGGATTCGACTGGTATTCGAACTCGGCTCTCCGATTCCTCAATCTGAGCCGCTACCCATTGCTCCACCATATTGTTTTGCCTGTATCGGAAAATACCACATGATTTTCTCTTTGACATCTGTTTATTTATTATTATTATTATGATTATTATTCAGCTATTATTATTATTATTATTATCAGTAACTTTTAAATGTATCTTTTGTTTCAGATTTTATAATGGTAGATATAATTATTGAGATTGACAATTTTGGGGCATTATTTTAGTATTGACAACAAAGCCACCTAAACTACCCGCAGAATCCTAAAGGAAATGAATCAATTAATCATCATCATCATCATCATCATCATCATCATCATCCCCATGACTGGGTCTGCTCGTAAAGTAAATTCGCTGCTGAACACCTGATTAGCTCCCTCCACATGTCTCGGTTGCGTCATGATGGCTGAGTCTCTGCGAAGGATCTTCCAGTAACAATCCCGAGCGACGATATATCCGGTATGAAAGTCATAGAGTTATTCATTCATGTGTAGTGTGTCTTGGTCAAGTAGGGCAGACGACATACTGTGTCCTCTAAATTCAGGTTTTCCTTGATTACGGATTTTTTAACGGGCAGTTTACTTTATAAAAAAAAATATTAAGTAGTATTTTATTTCAAACTAGCAGCATGGCCCGGCGTTGCCCGTGCTTGATTCAAAAATCGTACGACTCATACAGCAATCGCTATCACTTGACTTAAAATATTTTTGCCCTTCCTTGCCTTTAAAGGAGTGCCCTTTTCCGTGCTGATGCTGCTACATGCCTTACTTCTTGCCTATCTCACACTGCGAATTTTTTCTAAGCTCTATACTAAACATTAAATCTGTCACGAAAAAAGAATTAAACAAAATGAACACAAAACGATCAGCTTTAAAAAAAGGACTCGTAACTGGAAAAACCGAATGAAAAAAGAATGTTAACAACAAATACTTTTTTCACACCCAACCCAGTTCTGCGGAATCAGAATCAACGTTGAGTTTAAGCAAGCGAATGAGCCAATTGGAGTAAAGTGTCATGCAGATTTAAATTTTTCCCACTTGTGACGAATGCAGCTATCGATTTTTTTGCATGCTAGCATGCTAGTTAACATTCGTGTCAGTCAGCTGTTGGCTCTCACGCTGACCAGTAGAATCTTCCTACCTAGTAGAAAATGGCCGCAAACTACATGAAAAGTGCCGTAGAAGCATGAAAAAATAGATTATTTCCACTATCGATGGGAGTTGGGAAATGTAAAGTCGGTCTTGGCCTTCCCGCTAACTTGGAGCATGTGCATGTAAATTTTGGTGCAAATCCGTTGAAAATTGCGGCCGTGCATTCGTTACACAAAATACACACACACACACACACACACATCTTGCCTTTTATAGATAGAGATTGCAAAATTGTTTCATTTTCTTTAACGATCATGGATGTGTTAACAAATGACGGAAAATATGACACCGAAATCCGAACACGCACTTGAGTATCGAAAAGGGGTATCCCAAAATCTAAGCAAAGTGCTGAAAAACAGAAATAAATCGTTAGAAACAAAGAAAAGAGTTCTGGATGACTATGTAATATCCATCCACTTATATGACAAGAAATACTGGATAATTTCTCTAAAGATGAGGTAACTGAAATGTGGTTCTACCGAAGGATACTGAGTATTCCATGGGCGTAGCGAGTAAGCAACGAGGAAGTTTTAAAAAAGATGGCAACAAGAAGAACACATGCTCAGAACCAGGAGGAAACAATTGAACTTCCTTTGACACAAAATGACGCAATAAGGCTTGAAAGACCTAACCCTTCATGGGGCACGTTGAGGGCAAGTGAGATAAGGGAAGGCAACAAGCTACCTGATGAGCTTTTATGAATGGATAGCAGAACGAGGAGGGGGTGCCTTAGCAAAAGTAGAAACCTACTAAGGACCAAAAGAGATAGTTTTGCAGAGCTATGATCCGCCATATTCTGAAGAAGAAGAAGAAGAAGAAGAAGAAGAAGAAGAGAATGAGAAAGAAGAAGAAGAAGAAGAAGAAGGAGGAGGAGGAGGAGGAGAAAAAGTAAGGAGGAGGGGAAGAAGAAGAAGAAAGAGGAGGAGGATAAGAAGAAAAAGGAAGAGGAAGAGAAGGAAAAGAAGAAAAAGAAAAAGATAGAGAAGGAGGAGCGGAAGAAGAGTAGGAGTAGAAATAACGACGGAGTTGTCTCGATTTCAAGAGGCTACTTAATCACCTTTCTGCATGTCTACTCCTGAACAGTTGGGGAGTAACGTACTCAGCCAACAGCAGTGGGAAAGCAGCCATATCATCAACAACAACAACAGCAACAACAGCAACAGCAACAACAACAGTAATAACAACAACAACAACGAGGAGGAGGAGGAAAAGAAGAAGAGGGGGAGGAGTGATGGAGTTGTCGCGATTTCAAGAGGGTACTTAATCACCTTTCTCCTTGTCTACGCCTGAAGAGTTAGGGAGTAAAGTACTAAGCCAACAGCACTGGGAAAATTCCCAGAAGCGCAAGTCTGTCGGAGGTTAGAGATTGAAAAGAGTTCTATATACAGCCCGATCATTGCAAACTTTAACTTTGTTCTCCGATTTATAAATTTATAATTGACAAGTCGCTGTGTATAACTATGCCGTTCCTTAAGCCCACGTTTCCCCCATGGAACTGATAGAAAAATACACTTTAAAATGCTTAATTCATTCAGGTATTTACAAATCATTGCTCAGTCTAGCGAAAAAAAAAAGTGCGATACACTCGAACATTTTATAAATTGTTAGATTAGCCGAAGAATCCGAATTCGAAATCTGTTCGAGAATTTGATATTCCTGTTATCAAGCATAAAACGACAGTGAAGAGTAAAGAAAAGCTATTGACAACAAGTTAACACTAAAATGATTGGGTAATTTGAAACACAAAATAAAACGTTGTCATTAATCTGGACGTCTCAGTTTCGCTCATGTGTAAAAGAAAAAAAAAAACAGCTGGCCTTTATAAAATTGCAGTCCGTTTCTAAAAACGCTGGGTTAATGAACTGCATTAATTTCAGCGTCTTTTATTTTGTTTTTATTTTCACTCTAAAATATTTTTTTTCTAATTCTGAAAGTTCTATATCTCTTATTTAAACCTGATTCTATTTGGTCAATTGGAATAATTACAACGTGCGAACGCTTACCGTAGAAGAGATTTTTCCTTGACAAACACCAAATCATACATGGGAATATTCCTATATATATATATATATATATATATATATATATTGTGAAGGAAATAAAATGTTACCGCAATTCAAATATAAATGCTGCAAATTAAATTACGTAAAATCTGGTTTTGTTAAATAGTTTTTTGCAACGAACTCCCATTCAATGGTTGATGCGTAGTATAAAGATAGAATTCTTCCTAGTATCCACTATTTTCACCCGCAATCGTCTGACATTCAGGAAATTAATGTCATCCGTTTACAGTGGCGGGGGAGGGGAATAGGTCATCTGTGCCGTTCATTTACGCGTAAAAATTATTTAGTATATATTATTATTAAGGATATAATAATATTAATATTATTAAATATTATCATCCTTCGATATATTGGGGTAAAAAGTCTTGTCATCGGCAAGTCAAGAAGAAGAAGAAGAATGTGCATGTGAATATTTGGTTAAACTACTGCCCTAAAATTACTTGCCCGTGTTGAAGATACAAAATGCTGTTGAACCCCATAGTCAACACAGGGACTTAAACATCCTGCTTCGCCGATTAAGTCCAGTATGAATTGTTCATTTTTTGCAGTGGACAAAGAAAGAAAGAAAGAAAGAAAGAAAGAAAGAAAGAAAGAAAGAAAGAAAGAAAGAAAGGTGAATGACAGATAATCACTTTATCAAAAGAAAGGGAAATTATTATAAGAAAGAAAAAAACAGGAAAATGACAGATAATAACTTTATTAAAAGAACGAGTAATTATTATAAGAAAGAAATAAATAAAGAAAGAAAGAAAATGACAGAAATATGACTATTAAAAGAATAGGGGAAGTATTATAAGAAAGAAAGAAAGAAAGAAAGAAAGAAAGAAAGAAAGAAAACAGGAAAATGACAGAAATATGACTATTAAAAGAATAGGGGAATTATTATAAGAAAGAAAGAAAGAAAGAAAGAAAGAAAGAAAGAAATATGACTTTATTAAAAGAAAGGGGAATTAATATAAGAAAGAAAGAAAGAAAGAAAGAAAAAAGAAAACAAGAAAATGACAAATAATGACTTTATTAAAAGAGTAATTATTATAAGAAAGAAAGAAAGAAAGAGCCAAAGAAAGAACAGGAAAATTGCTGATAATAACTTTGTCAAAAGAAAGGCAGTCTCTTACAGAGTAAAAGAAAGAATTTTCCTAAAAAATATTCCTTGTGAACAAGCTTCTAAGCAAATAAAACTCGATCTTAAATCATCCAACAATGATACGCTCACCATGAACATGGCGCCAACAATGATCGTTTTCTAATTACATTCATTTGTAATTGGTCACAAATTCGCATAACCCTCCTTTTATCTCTCCTCTGTCTCTAGCATCCTCACATAAGTGACGCCTACGTGTATTCTTTCTTTCGCTTGATCACTCTCCTCTTACTTTCTCTCTCTCTCTCTCTCTCTTTCTTTTCTCTCTTTTTCTTGTTTTCTTCTTCTTTCTACCTTCCTGTCTCTCCTGTCACTACTCCTTTGTTTTCCCTTTAGTTCTTTCTTTCTTTCGCTTTTGCTTATTATTCCGTTCCCCCTCTCTCATTTCACTCATTCTTCTTACTCTGTACTCTACCTCCTTTGTTAGACACTTTATCTCTCGCTCTCATCTGCTCCCACTCTCTCCGCCCACTTTTCTCGCTCTGTTACTCTATTTTAAATTTCTCTCTCCATCACTTTTTCCTTCTCGTCTTTCATCTTTCTCTCTTTCCCCTCCTTCATTTTCTCAATCTTTTTTCTATTTCCTTTCCTCATTCTCGTTCATTACATTCTTCTCTGTTCCTAACTTCCTCCTCTTCCTCTTCCTCTTCCTCTCCATCTCTCTCTCCCTCCCTTTCTCTTCTTCGCACCAAATCACCTTGAGTAGTTTTCTCATAATTACTTTCCCACTTTATAGTTTCAGTTGTTTGCACAGTTATAGGTGAACCATAATTCCTACCCATTCATAGTTACAATTACCTCGAATTTTAATGCGTTTTCATCTATAATAATTAAAAGAAAACTGAAGGAAATCGTAAACCAAGTAGAGGAAATAGAAAAGAACGAAGACAATGTGTGATCAATAATAATAAAAAAAAAAACGAAGTGTTATGACAGACAACATAAAATGTGACACCGAAACCGAAGTTGTAATGGAACGCCTTCCAGTAGCGTGCACAATGGGGAGCAGAGGGTGCGATGGCCCCAGGCATCCATATCTGGAGGGCAACCAATCAAAGAGTGAAATAGAAATTTATTTTTTGAAATCTATGTTAACTTCATTGTACAAGCGCCCTATAGTCCCACAAGGTGGTTTGTGTATGTGGATCCGTGTTTTCATCAGACCGGAGTAAGTAGACCCACCCACCCACTTGAGTCTTAGGGGCATAGAATCAAGGAGTTGGTCCCGGGCATCACCAAACCTCTGACCCCGTCCAAAAGCGAAACAATGTATGAAGAAGCAATAAAATTCCGTTAGAAACAAAGAAAGGACTGCTGAACTATCGAATAGCAATCCCCCTATATGTGGACGCTGGACATTTTCCCAGTTTTACGATGTGTCTCCAGATACTGGAGACGGTTCCATTTTCATTATAATTTACTATTTCTATATAAAACAGTGCCTGTGTCTTTCTGCGAAATTTGGTGAAAATACATGTAGCACTGTGCTTCTCTTAACTCGTAGGCTTTATAAATATATATCAGGTTAAAAAAAAAGTTTAAAGAAAGAATAGATGTCTGTGAGAAGAAACAAAAAGGATATTGGTAATATTTGCAGAATTACCAATTATGTGACGTGGCTGTAATTATAAAATAAATGAATCACATTCGCTTAGGCGATCAGGTATACTTCGATACATGACTGAAGAGGCAGATTCTTTTTTTTCGCCGCAGCAGGTCGCCATTTCTTTCTGCCATCCAAGAATCCGGTCTATCCTGCTATTTACCCATAGAGGAGAAGAGGATTCATACCTTTCCAAAGGGTATTAGCACGTAAGTGAATGCAACGGATTCGACTGAAATTCGAACTCGGCTCTCCGATCCCTTAATACGAGCCTCCTACGCACTTTCTACAATGCAAATAATATATTTAGCTAGGGAACCTAACAGATGCTACCACCCCCGGACCTGGGAACAACAGCCATTAATAGGTGGTTTCACGTTCTTCAATCTCCCGATCAGAGGCTTTGCTGCTGGGTGTAGTTTATCGTCAGTCAGTCATGTGCTATGAGTGATACACGCCTAGACGATCATATATATTCCAATACATGACTGACGAGGCAGATTTTTTCCCGCACTAGGTTGCCATTTCTTTCTACGGTAGATCAGTTGCCATCCAAGGCAATAGAACCCGGTCTGTCCTGCTATTTATCTATAGCTGGGGGGAAAAGAGGATTCATACCTTTCCTAAGGGTATTATCTCGAAGGTGAATTTAATGGATTCGACTGGAATTCGCACCTCCGATTGCTCATTCCGAGTCGCTATCCAATACTCCACTGTGCCCGTAATAATGTTTCGTTATTTGCCATGAAAGATCTTATTGTTAGAAAATAATTTATTTTCAAAAATCCGAAACCGAGTATTATGCACTCAAGTAAGTTGTCCTCACTACTGGTTGATGACATGGTTGCGAAAGTTAGGAAAACAATTGGGTGGCCATTTTCTTTTAAAATATTAACATTAAAAAAATTAATTGCTACCCAACATATTCTTTCATAAAATATTTATTTTAAAATTTAAAAAAAATTGTTGATCCACAATATTGCTTTTAAGTTAACAGTCAATGTCTTGAATAATTGAGTGAATAGGCATGGGTTGTGTTTAGATAGATAGATAGATAGATAGATAGATAGATAGATAGATAGATAGATAGAGAAACTGTAAACGATAGATAGATAGATAGATAGATAGATAGATAGATAGATAGATAGATAGATAGATAAAGAAACTGTAAACGATAGATAGATAGATAGATAGATAGATAGATAGATAGATAGATAGATAGATAGATAAACTGTAAGAGATAGATAGATAGATAGATAGATAGATAGATAGATAGATAGATAGATAGTAGTGTATATAGTCGTGTCGATAATAGGTCGTGTTTATAGTTCAGTCGATAGGTAGACACAAGATGTCTTTATATTTGAATCGATAATAGGCCGTGTTTATTGATGTCAACAGGTACAAATTGGTTGTGGTTATCTTTGAGTTGATAAGTACATATAGGTCGTGTTCATTGTTGAGTCAATAGTTAAACACAAGTCGTGTTTATATTTGAGTAAACAGATAGAAATAGGTTGTGCTTATATAGTTCAGTCGATAAGAAGATTTAGGTCGTATTTAGTAGTTTATAGTTGAAGTTGTGTTCATGATTGAGATGATAAATAGGCCGTGTTTATACTTGAGTCAACAACTAAAATACGTTGTTTTCTATAGTCGATAAATTGTGTTTATAGTTGAGTCAATAAGTAGATATAAATTGTGTTTACAGTTGAGCCGATAAGTAGATATAAATTGTGTTTATAGTTGAGTCGATAGGTAGACACCAGGTGTGTTTATAATTGAGTCGATAATAAGTCGTGTTAATAGTTGAATCAACAGGTAGCAATAGGTTTTGTTTATAGTTGAGTCGATGGATAATCAAGATCGTATTTATACTTTACACGCTAGATAAGCACAAATCGTATTTATATATTTGTCGCTATGTTGACATAGGTCCTGCTTATCCACTCGGATGAGGTGGGGAGAATCTTACCTTTGTAGGAGATGCAGTTCAACCTTTTCTACGCAAAAAAAACAATTGTAAGAATTGTTATACCTTTGAGTAGTATAACTAAATTCCTTGTAACCAAATTATATTTGTACTTTTGGATGTTTTCTGAATACGCTGTATAAAGACTTGTTAGTGGTACACGTAGCTGTATTCAGTACACTAAATTGAGTTTGAAATTCGTTCTCGATACTGACTTAGTCACAACATTATTAACGATCGACTCGAAAATCTCAGATGGTACACAAAACACTCTACTCATGTCTTTAACATTTTTATATGCATTTGGTATGACAATAAACGACATCCGCGTCCTGGGTAAGACGATAAACTATGTCCAGCAGCAAGGCCTCTGATCAGGATGTTTTGAGGAGCGTGGCATCACCTCTTAATTGCTGGTGTTCCCAGGTCCACTTTGACCCGGTGTGGTAGCACCTGGTAGGGTTCCAGCTATGGGCAAATAATTAACCCCGAAATTGGGGCAAAAACACAATGAAAGTGTAAAAATAGGTTTTAATACTACAAATACTTTACAAAATTATTGCAAGCAATAAATTGTTGAAGGAAACTATTACCAGCAATACATTTTTGAAAAAAAAAATATTACCAACAATATTTTTTTTAAAATAAATATTACTAGGAATACATATTTGAAAAAATTATTGGAAGCTATATATTTTTGAGGAAAAAATACTAGCAGCAATACTTTTTTGAAAAAAAAATTATTACCATCAATACATTTTTGAAGGAAAAATATTAGCAGGAATACAATTTTAACAAAACAGAATATAATAATTTTTTCGGCATTAAATAAGCCATTGAGGTTGATAAGCAAACCAAACGAAAAACAAATTATATACATTTAATTTTAGGAGGAAGAAGTATAACAAAGTGGAAAAAAAAGATTTCTTGTGACTCGTTTCCTCCTTTAGGACATCATCGGACTAAGTTTACGTTGACGCGACTGCACATGCGCACGAAGGAGAGACGCTGGGAATTTTAACTTTAAAAATAGTTTTTATTTAATGTGTTTTGGGCATATGATCTCGCCGATTCTATTTAGATTCTTTTTCTTTTTGTTTATGTTACCATCACATTTATTATTAAATATTCCACATTGTGATAATAAAAGATCTGCCAAGAATAGTGAAATGTTGTAAGAATCTGGAGGAAAATTGACTGTGGATAATTTAACGATTAAAGCACTTTCTAAACATTTTCCACTTAGTAAATTGTTTTCTCTTTTAGAGTAGCATCTTTTAAATCAAAATTGTGGTCAATTTCGTTACGATGCTGTTTTGTAAAAGATTCCTTTTGTGTTCATATAATCTTTTATTTAAGTTTCTTGACGTTTCTCCGATGTATTCTTTATGGTAATTATTACTGGTAATAGAATAAATTCCTCCTTCAAGTTTTAACTTATTTTGTTTTGTATTAATTAAGTCTTTCATTGTTTAAAACGTAGTTGTGACAAATTTTATGCTGAGT